TTTGTTTGCATGAATCCAATAAGAATCTGATTTTTTCATAGCAGACCAATTGTAGTTTTATTAACCAAGACTTTGACTGGAATGTTATGTTTGCAAATGTCATGCTTAGACTCTTAACTGTCAGCAAAACTTTAAAAAATAAAGATTGACTTTAAAGCCAAGAAAAGTCCTTTGGGGAAATGTCCTGGTACCTTTTCTGGGAACCTTAACTATATAGTCTAAATTTGGTTTTAAAATCAAGATATAATTCACATAGGATACAATTCACCTTCTTAAAGTATTTGTTTGGTTTAAAAGATACGTTTTTTTGCCGAAACCGGTTTGGCTCAGTGGTAGAGCATCGGTTCTGTGAACTGAAAGGTCCCAGGTTCGATTCCAGTCAGGGGCATGTATATTGGTTGCGGGCACATCCCTGGTGGGGGGTGTGCAGGAGGCAGCTGTGGATGTTTCTCTCTCATCGACATTTCTAGCTCTCTATCTCTCTCCCTTCCTCTTTGTAAAATATCAATAAAATATATTTTTTAAATAAATAAAAGATACGTTTTTAACATGGCACAAAAATTTCTCAGAGGAAATAAATCTTCTTTTAAATAGTTCTACAGACTTGCATGGTTTTCTAAAGGATGCTCATATTTTAACATTTGGAAGGAAAATGATGAGTTGAAATGAAGGGGGAAAGGTCTGGGTGGCCCCTTCGTTCGCTTTAGACATCTGAGCTGGCCACCGCAAGCCCAAGTAGTAAAAGTAAAGTTGATCTTCAATGGCACCCCCATCCCATTTTCTTTTTTTTCCCCTCTTTCTTTCTTTCTTTCTTTTTTTTTTTTTTTTCCTACTTATTCCCCATCACTTCTCTGTGGCCTTACCTCTGGACAAACTCCCTTTCCCAAATCAGAATCCACCTTTGGGCTGTACTGTTACCGTGTCATCAGTGGTGTTTTCTGACCCTCACAATCCACTGGGCAGTCGCTGTGGCTCAGGCTCTTCGGTGGAGCTGTGGGGAGTCATGTCCCATTAGCTACTGCTCCTGGGAACAAGTCCCAGCCCCGCTCAGGCATCTCCATGGACTCCCCCACGAGCCCCAGGCAGCCTGCTACAGGGAAAGACCAGTAGTTTGGGATCAGGCAAGTCTGATTGAAATTCCACTTTGCAGTTTACTCTGTGTCAGATTCTGGGCAATTTCACCAAGTTTCCAAGCCTCACTTTCCTCTTGGTGAGATGGTTGTAAGAGTTCCTGCCCCCAATCACCCCAGGACCAGGTAACAGCCAACTAGGGACCACACCGAGGCTCACAGAAATTATTCAATCTAGTCAATTTTAGGCTTGCTCAGCTTGCCTACCCAGCCTCACCCATTCCTTCCCGTAAAAATCATAACGAAGGCTCTGCCCGTGCTTTCCCCTCACTCTTCCTGCCCAATTCTGGTGCTCCTCCCATGTGGCCCTGAGTGGCATGGTGTGCCCCCTTTTCTTGGGAATTGTATGTAATAAACCTTTTTAAAAGACAATTGTCTTCCTGTCTGTCACTATCTACAACTGAAACAAATTCCAGGTATGTGTGTATGTATGTATGTATGTATGTATTTATTTAGTATTTATTTACGTATTTATGTATGTATGTATTTTATTTACTAGAGGCCCAGTGCACGAATTTGTGCACCTTGAAAGGAACTGTGGGCCATGAGGCTGTGGTGGGCACATAGGTGGGTCTCACCCCATCCTCTGCACCCCCACCTGGCCCCTCATGCCACGATCCCCAGTCCCTCTCTGCCAGCAGCCACACTACTGCCACTCCTGCTGCTGCCACTCCCATGCACTGACAGCACCAGCCCTGCTCGCACCCACAGACAGCATGGAGTAATTGGGGCCAGCGCCAATAGCAGGTGGTATGAGTGGGGCCAGCCCCATCAGTAGGTGCAAGTGGCGGCTGCTGCCCAATCATCCCTCAGGAGCAGGGGGAGGTCGAGAAGCCCTCAGGTGTGACCGGGTGCTGGCAGTGGGTGTGAGCAGCGGTTCTGGCGCTGGCTGTGGGAGCAAGTGGGGCTGGCGCTGGCAGTGGGTGTGAACAGGACCGTGACTCGCAGGAGCAAAGGATTTTCAGTAACTACCATAGGCTCACTCAGATGACAGCGACCGGTGCCCCACCTAGGTCTGGAGCCCCTGCTCACCTGGTCCACCATCCCACCACAACCGACACCCACCATGTTCCATGCACACCCCCTGGTGGTCAGTGCACGTCATAGTGACCAGTTGTTCCAGTTGTTCTGCCGTTTGGTCTATTTGCATATTAGCCTTTTATTATATATAATTTCTTTTTGTTGTTGTTAATCCTTATCTGAGGATATTTTTCCATTGATTTTTAGCGAGAGTGGAAGAGAGAGGAAAAGTTGAGAGAAACATTGATGTGAGAGAAACATACCAAATGGTTGCCTCCTGCACAAGCCCTGACCAGGGCCTGGGTCAGGGAGGAGCCTGCAACCAAGGCAAGTGCCCTTGACCAGAATCAAACCCAGAACTCTTTGTTCTGCAGGCCGATGCTCTATCCATTGAGCCAAACCAGCTATGGCCCAGGTATATTTTTAAATGGAGGGTATTCTTAAGTCTGCAGACCCTTATTTGGGAGAAGGCAATGGTTAGGAGTGGGGGTATCCAAAGAGGGGAGGAGCTCTGTCTGATGTCCCCACCACCCCAGGGGAGTGAGTGAGTCCCTCTCACCAAGGCCGTGCTCATGGCAGCTCAAAACCAACTTCTACACTTTCAGGAATTTTGTGAATTGGTTGTTACAAATTGTTGGTAGCTTGAAACCAGCCACAATGACAGTATTTATACCACAGAAGTCTACACACCTACATGTGACAGATCAGGACTTCCCCATCACCACCTGCTAACACTGTCTGTTAAATGTTTACATGTGATGAAAAACATAAACTGATGAACAAAAATAGATCCTGACACATAGAAGCATTGAACAGACCGTCAAACCTCAGAGGGAAAAGGGCATGGTAAGAGATCAACCATAGGACTTGTATGCATGCATAGAAGCATACCCAATGGACACAGACAGTAGTGGGGTGAGGGCCTGTGCTGGGGGTGGGAATGGGCAGGGAGAGTTCAATGGGGGGGAAAGGAGACATGTAATACTTTCAACAATAAAGAATTTAAATTACAAAAAAATGTTTACATGTGTACCACTGCCTCTAATGTCATATCTGCTTCTCCATTTGTACTGGAAAGGCAGAGTGAAAGGAGGCATTTCCCCCTGGAGCTGCTCTGCAGCCCACTCCCAGGACCAGAGGACACTGCCCAGGATTGGTGTTGACCCTTCCATCATACTCCACACAAAGGACCCCAGGTCTCCAGAGAGACCTCATTTCCCTGCCGGAGACTTCTTGTCCCCGGTGCCCCAGCCTGGGTCAGCCCAGTCCCCCAGATGCTGAGCTGGAATTGCTAAGTGTGTCCTTGTGGAACCAGTAGACCCTAAGCATGGCCACACCAGGGAGAACTCACACCCCAGTCCTCATGCAGCCAGATGGGGGAACTTCCACTCCACCCTCCCTGGATGGGAGAAACATCCAGGTCTTCTCCGATGGGTGCACTTGGCATAAAAAAATCAAGGGTACGCAGGTGGGCCCTTTTCTCTCTCCTGGCTGTGCCCACCACAGAGCAGGCAACCGCTGATGGGGCAGCTGGTGAGTTCTCAAAGGCCTCCCACCCAGCTCAGCTCAGCTCAGAAGTTAACGCTTAGCTTGTGGTTGGGGCCCATGATCATCCTCCCTCCGCCACCTGCGCCTTTCAAGTAGTTCAGACTCAAAAGGCAGAAAAAAGAGCCCCTAAAACCCAAGCCATCTGTGAGGCCCCATTCAACCTCACCCTTTCACATCCTCTTGCTCACCCCGTTTCCCCAACCACACGGACCTTCCTCCAGTTCCTGGAAAACGCCAAGTTCACCCCCAGCTCCACATCTTTGCCTTTTTCATTCTCCTCAATGCTTCCCAGGGCTGGTTCCTCCTGCCCTCTCAGGTCGTGGCCACTCTATGAAACATCCGCCTCCCTCATATAACCCTGGTTTATTGTCTGGGTTTCTGAAACTGTGCATGTGCTCACCTGTTTATCACCTGTCCCCTTAGGTCTTATCCGTTTGGTTCGCTGCTGTGACCTAGCACCTAGGACTGCAAAATTGCAGAGGCTTAGAAATGTTTGTTGAACAGACTGTTTTGGGGATAGGGGGAAATGAGTATTTTTCTTTATTTTGTTTGGGGTTTTATTTTTTAAACCAAGGATATTTTTCCATTAATTTTTAGAAAGAGTGGAAGAGAGAGGGAAAGACAGAGAAATATCAATGTGAGAAGCACATCTATTGCACACATTCCGACCAGGAGCCTGTAACCGAGGTGCTGCCCTTGGCTGGATCGAATCCGGGACCCTTCGTCCGCAGGTCAACGCTCTAGCCACTGGGCTAAACCAGCTAGGGCGAGTGTTTTTCTTTAATAGCAAAATATAGGTTATGAAAAACTTGAAAATATAGAAAAATACAGTTTAGAACCTTCTTTAACATTTTGATCATAAAAGACAAGTCACACCTGCACTTTCTCCACGCATGTAGGTATAATCGGGGGGGGGGGGGGGGGGGGGGGAGTGCACATGTAGACAATCCTTCCAGGCTCCTCAGGGCCCCCGATTCCCGACCACATTCTTGTGCACCCATCCTGTTTCTGAGGACCGCCCTGAGAATGACCCTTCGTTGGAGACCTCTGGGGCTCAGTAAAGTGTAAGGCTTTGCAACGTAAGCATGAGGTAACGATGGCTTTCCCCATTTCCAGATGTGGGGACCAGACTGGCTGCTGTCACAAAAGCCACACAACTGACAAACAATTCCAATTGTCTAGCAGTGCCAAGGCCTCGTTTCTCCCTACCTTTGGCCTTCAGGGCAGCTAGCCTAATTGCCTGCCCTCTGCAAGGTGCTTGCTCATTAATGAAAACTGAGATGGTTAGGGACAGGTGGTGAGTCACAGCCACCAGTCCGTAGACTCCTTGGGACAGGCCCTGATGATGACCAGACAGTGGGGCAGCCCCTCACACAGGATCCTCTCCACCTCGGGACCCTCCCACTCCAGCCCCTGCAGCTCGAGGACCCTGAGCTTGGGCATGGAGCTGCAGGAGGAGATTATTTCAGCCAGGGAGAGCTTTTCCAGGGTGCCGTGCGGGGCCTGCAGGCACAGGCTCTCCAGCGCCGGCATTCCCTCCAGGGCAGACAGGCCGATGGCTGACAGGCCCATGATGGTGAGCCGGATCTTCCGCACATCCCGGAGGTGGCGGCTGATGGCCAGGAGGGTGTTGTCGGCCGAGAGGACACAGCCCAGCACCTCCAGCCTCTGCAGGTAGCTCAGCTCCTGCAGGCTTGCATCCATCCCGGCCTCAGTCACCCGGTATGTGCCACCCAGCACTAGTGAGCGCAAGGCGCCGAAGCACGTCAGGCCCTGCAGGTGCTCGTCCCGAAAGGCAGGGACGCGGTCCAGCACGAGGCACTCGAGCAGGGGCAGCACAGTGTGGTCCTGCCCCTTGAGGAGCCAGGCCATGGAAATCTCACAGCTGTGCAGCTCCAGGGTCCTCAGGGTGCAAGGCAGGCTGGTGATCGGCAACATGCTCAGGTCAGCACTGTGCAGGCAGAGATGCTGGAGGTTGGGGCACTTCTGGCCCAGGGCCCTCATCAGGGCTGGGGACAGCTGGGGAGCCTGGGAGCCTGCGGACAGGTAGCCACACAGCCGCAGGGAATGGAGTCTGGATGCCATGTACCGGCGAAGGAGGTGCCACATGACTTTAGGCCGCATCTGTAAGAGTCAAAGATGGGGTGATCAGGAAGTGAGAGACACAGGGAATCTTTCAAGGTCCCTGCCCAACTGGAGTCAGACAAGCCCCAGCTGGGGTTCTCCTGCTCCCCTAGAATCGTCCTTCCACCATCAGCCTCACCCGATCAGACACCTCTCCGGGGCGGGGGCAGGGGGAGGACAGGAGGAAACTCCACTGCTTTGACTCCAAGAATTGAACAAAAGCAACAAAGGAAAGAGGTCATAACAAATCGGTCTTTAGCAACAGAGTAGATTCTCATTATGTTCTGGAGTAAAACAGCAAAGCAACCCCCTGAGTTTTTCTCTCTTTTTTAATGACCACCATGGAGAAAAGTAAGCATTGTAAAATAAAACTGAAAAAGGCTAAAACTGCCCAGGGTGCATTAGATCTAGGTTTTTAAAAGGCAAAACAAAACGCCATAACCTGATAATAGTGAAAGCTATCAAAAATGTATCCTAGCAAGTTAGATTTAGTAGAAAACAAACAGATAAAGGGCCCGGATCAGGCTGGTTGGCTGCTGCAGTGCCTGTCATAGCTATCCCTCATTCCACTGTTCTGGTTTCTGGGCTTTTTTATCTCTCTCTCTCTCTCCCTCCCTCCCTCCTTCCCTCCCTCCCTCTCAAATCAATCTTTAAAAAGTAGTGTGTGAATAAGGCTAATTGTGGGTCGATATAAGTAAAATAGCATTTAATAATCTAAACAGTAGCAATAGCATTATCTAAATTTTAGGATCACATTAACAATACTGTATGTAGTGAATAAAAACGCCAAAGGAAGGCCACAATTCCATTTTACAAGAGTGGTTTCCTCCGAGGAGGGTTTCAAAAAGTGCAATAAACATATCAACAAATGTTGTGTGTATAATGTATGTTTCACGTGACCTGCAGTAAATACGGCCAAAGGCTAAAACAGGTGAAGTCTGGGTGGTGACTACCTATTTACCTGAAACCATGTTACCCTCTAGACATTTCTATATACTTGAAATAGTTCATCATAAAAACAAGAAAGGTAAGATGCAAATGATAGAAAGTGGAAATAGTTGGGTTGCACTACTCAGGAAATTAATTATGGAAAATAACTTCCCCATGAAGCCTCGGTAATAATAATCTTAAGTGATAACCTCATCACCAGCCAGCATTTATCATGCGCCGACTCTGTGCACTCAGACTTGGCCAAGCCCATTCATTCCCCGCACTGTCTCGGTCATTTACATTTTGGAGATGGGGAAACCGGCCCGGGAAGGTCGCAGAGGAGCGAGTAAGCGACACGACCCGGTGGCGTGCTCCCCGGAGCGTCTGGGCTCGAACCGCGCGCGGCCCGGGCCCGGCCTGCCGCACTCACCCGGTAGACGGTCAGGTCGACGTGTCGCCACAGCCACCGGTCGTCCACCAGCCTCCTCCAACGGTGACAGACCCTGCGGGGGGAGACCGCCGTGAGCGCAACCCCGACCCCGCCTCGCCCTTCGCCCCCCTCCCCCCGCCTCCGCGGGGCGAGGCCGCACCTGGAGAGGCGAACCCGGTCCCGCACCGGGAGGTAAGAGAAGATCTCCAACAGCACCGAGTCCGGCAGGTCCGAAAGCGCGGCCATGCCCCGCCGACTCGCATTTCCTCTTCTGGCCAAAGGAGCTCCGGGTCTCGCCCGGGGGCGCCCCCGGAGGCGGGGGGAGCGGGGTGCCGGCTGAGAGGTCGCCACGGCTCCGGTGGCGGTGGAGAGGGTTAGCTTTCCTTCTGGGGAACGCGCGTGAGTCCCTGCCGAGGACCAGCCCCCGCCGCCTAGGAGCCTTCAATTTCAAACCGGAAACAAGCTGGGAAGGCGTAGCTGGGCCGCGTGACGCAAGGGGGCGTGGCCGAGGCGGGGGACCAATCCGGAAGGCGTGGCCAGGGCGGGTGCGGGGACGATGGGCGGGGCGGGGCGGGGACCAATCCGGAAGGCGTGGCCGGGGCGGGAACGATGGGCGGGACGGGGACCAATCCGGAAGGCGTGGTTAGGGCGGGGCGGAGCAGGGAGCACTCTGACCACCAGGGGGCAGCTCCCGCATTGAGCGTCTGCCCCCTGGTGGTCAGTGCTCGTCATAGCGACTGACCCTTCCGCTTGCACGTTAGAGTTTAAGTATAGGATAGTCTGCACCGCAGGTGTCCCCAGGCGGCAGAGCCATAGCCGGAGGGAAGGCCCCCGGGATGACTGCAGGGCTCGGCAGCGGCAGGTCACCTATCCCTCCCCGATGTCACCCGGGCCCCTCTAGGGTGCCCACCCACTGACGGAGTCTCCCCACAGCGAATGGCGCCTCCACCAACGAGCTGGGCCCCGGCCCTTGACCTCTGACCCTCCCTCCACGGGGTCGGGACCCCCACTCGGCCCACGCACCAACCGCCAGGGTCCCCCTGCCCAATTGGGAGTCCCCAAAGCCGCGCCGGCCCATATTACCAGGCTCCGAGGAAGGGGCGGGCGCTTTAGGTTGCGCACTTCCGCTTCCGGTTCCCAGCGCAACCTCCGGCCCCGGCTTGGCTGTCGAGCGATTAGGCTGTGGCGTCGGCGGGTTCCAGGCGACTCGAGGTGAGGAGTCGGGTGGGGCGGTCGGTCCCGAGTTGGAGAAAGCGGACGGCCCAAGGGCCCGGAGCGGGGAGGCGCGGCGGGCGGGACTCCGCGGTCCCGGGACACGGAGCTTGGGGCCCCGGAGGACGGGGGTTCTGAGGAGGTGGGAAGACAGCGTAAGTTTCCACCGGAGGTCTTGGGGTGCGGGAGCCCCTTAACGTGCTGACTCTGTGGCTCCGGACAGGATGATCGAGGTTGTTTGCAACGACCGTCTGGGGAAGAAGGTCCGCGTGAAGTGCAAGTATCCACCGGAGGCGGAGGGCAGGGGGCGGGGGGCCTGGCCTGGGCCGCTGGGTCCGTGCTGGAGGGGGGTGGGTGGGGAGCCGGCATGTGCCGTTAGCCCTGCAGTGTCCTCCCACCACCCCGCACCGTTTCCCTTAACTCCTCTGCGCCAGCACCGATGACACCATCGGGGACCTGAAGAAGCTGATCGCAGCCCAAACGGGGACCCGTTGGAACAAGATCGTGTTGAAGAAGTGGTGAGTGCCGTGACCGAGCGGGGGTTCGGGGTTCGGGGACCCAGGGACCAGGCCGGAGGTCTGGGTCGGGGTCGTGAAGACCGCCTTAGGTTTCTGTCTGAAAAGGTGTCTGTCCCGCAGGTACACGATTTTTAAGGACCATGTCTCTCTGGGGGACTGTATCCTTTGTGTGATTTCTTGAGGAAAGGGCTCCACGCCGCGTCCTGGCTCTTGGTTCAACACTGGGTCTGTCAGAGACTGTGCTCATACGGTGTTGAGCCAAGTATGGAGCACGTGGTAAGCATTTGGACAATGCGAGTCATGTATGTCATCATTTCGCTGGGGGAGGAGGGTGGCTGGTTGGTGAAATATTTTGAGGCTTAGAAGACACTTCTAAGGAGGGGGGGGGGGGTGGAGTGAGACTCCGCCATGTCTCTGGTGCAAAAGGAGCGTGACACGTTACAGTTTGTGTTCTTTCCAAATCAAAATGACCCAGTCCCCGATGGCTTCCTTGGTCCTGGCCGGAGCCCAGCAGGCCCCCCGGCCCAGCTGGGAGAGAGGAAAGCGTGGGGGTCCAATCCACAGTGAAGGATTCCTTAACACCTTCACTTCAGATGAAATCCATGATGGGATGAACCTGGAGCTTTATTACCAATAAAGCAGAATTCCTTCCTCGTGCCCTGTCCCCCCTCCCCTTCTCTCCTGCTCTCAGCTCCAGCACTAGTATGAATGCTTGTTTTTAAAAAGTCATGTTAATAAAAACGTAGAACAGCTTCATTGTTGTCATCTTTGACTGAGGCCTGTCTGATGAGGGAGGGTTGGTATCTGGTTGTCACTATACCCTCAGTGCCCAGCTGCTCATTAAGACTGACTGGATCCGTGAGGGAAGAGCAGGCCAGGAGACCAGGAGCCTGGGTGGGTTTCTGGAGGGCAAGAGATCCAGAGATTATTGTCACCCTAAGAGACCCGGGGCCCTCTGGGTAGGGACAGTTAGGAATACAGGTTCTGGATTGAGACAGGCTGTGGGTGGAATCCCAACTCTTAACATTGACAACGACCTGGGCAAGTTACTTAACCTCCCTAAGCCTTCATTTCCTTTTCCAAACTGGAACTGATAGTTCATGGTCGTGTTGCAAAGTGTAGGTGAGATCAAACGAGGGTTAGCACCTGTGGGGAGCCGGCAGGGCCAAGGCATACTCAGCCCCAGGGCGCCTTATGTGCCGCGCCAGCTCAGCCAGGTTCAGTGACCCGGGAGGGGGCGGTGAAGGATTGAGAAAAGACAGACAAGAGACTGAAAGCTGGGACTCCCTGATGGGGACCCAGCAGCGCCACGGACTACAAGCCATGTCTTTATTTTATAGTTGATGCCAGGAGGCAAAGTAAGGGCGTGGTCAACATGTTTACAACATTCTTGTGGGTTTCCATCCCACTCAATTGCATGTACCTGATCAAGCTTTGTTTATTTGCAGCCTTTATTAAGCACTTGGGGCTTTATGTTCAGAACTTAGGTTCACGCTTGCAACTACAGCTGTTGGCTATAATGATGCTGGGAGGGCTCTTGCATATGGCCACGAGAGGACTGTGCCCTCTTGTTGGTCCAAGGCTTGAACCTGTCCAAACACTGTAACCACACCCCACAAGCACCTACGATTCTTGGCATTTATGAAATCCTGGTGGACAGGGCAAAACAGCATGGCATAGAGTGAATTTTGACTGATCATTAGTAGTGGGATTTGGGGTAGTCAGCTTCTGTTGCTCTTCAATTTCCTTTGCTGCAGACTCCAGCTGGTCTTCGCTGTAGCACTCCTGTAGATCTCCCCCCACCCCCCACACTCCATCTCATAGACCAGACATCCTGCCCTACCTGGCCACTCCATGCCTGGAGCAGCTTTGTGGCCACCATCTTTGGTCTTCTAATTTGCATATTCACTCTGATTGGCTGTGGGCATAGTGGAGGTACAGTCAATTTACATGTTTGCCTATTATTAGATAAGACAAGAGGCCCGATGCATGAAACTCATGTAAAAGTAGGCCTTCCTTCCCCTACTGCTCGGGCTTCCCTTGCAGAGGAAGGCCCCGCCCACCCGCCACAGGCCTGTCGATGGCCTGGGCCTCCCTCTGCGGGCAATCAAACATTGTTTCAGCCTTAGCCAGTTGCCCAGTGATTAGTGCGTTGGCTTGAGGACTAAAGGATCCCACACTGGGGATCTGGTCCAAAACCAGTAGCCCAGCCAGGGTGGCTCAGTGGTTGAGTGTCAACCTATGAACAAAGAAGTCATGGTTGGATTCCTGGACAGGGGATATGCCTGGATTTCGGACTAGATCCCCAGTGTGGGGCATGCAGGAGACAACCAATCAATGACTCTCTCATCATTGATGTTTTTATCTCTTCCTTGTTCTTCCTCTCTAATATCAATAAAAATATGTTGTTTTTAGAGTTACAAATAAAATGAGGCAGGAAGGGTGGAAGGGTGTTGTTAGAATGAACCTGTGGGACTGGATGAGAGTTGGAGGCTTCAGTGTGGACGTATGGTTTTTATTTCCTATGTATATAGACATGCAGATATGTGTGTGTGTGTATATATATATTTTTTTTTTCCTTGCTTTTTCCACTTAGAGGGACCAGAAGCAGTGACACCCCAATGCAATGAGCATGTCCAACACCCAGATCTTTGTTTCTAAACAACATTCTCCAATGAAAGGAACTAGAGCTTCTTGGAGAAGTGATTGGTTCTAGAGTGAGGGCAGGGAAAATACAAGCTGGGCATGGAGCATTTAGTGGTGTCAGGAGGTAAGAAGTGCCACAATAAAAAGGATGGAAGCATGTTGAAAGGGCACAGTCTCAAAGTATCCCTCAAAAGTATTATTGCAATAGTAAGTTCAGAAATTGCCTTAACCAAGTGGTCAAAGTTAATATCGCAACTACAATGGCCCCTAATTTACATCCTTGTGTAATCCCTTCCTCTTGAGTACAGGCTAGGCCTAGCTTCTAACAAGTACAGCATGACAAAAGTGATGGGATTTCACTTCTGAGATGAGGTTGCAAGGAAACTGGCTTCTGTCTTGCTTTCTCACTTGTTCATTAATGAAAGCCAGCTGCTATGTTGTAAGCTGCCTTATGGAGAGACCCCCAACAAAGAACATCAGTCCTCAGATAAACATCCTATTGGTACTTGAATCCTGTCAGCAGCCACCTGAGAGAGCTTGCAAGTAGTTCCTGCCTCAGTCAAGCCTTCAAGTTAGACTACAGCCACCCCTGCTGACACCAGCTAAACTGTGCTTGGATTCCTGACCCAATAGGAGCTGTGAGAAAGTGTTAATCAACTAAGTTGTGAGATAAGTGTCACTGCAACAATAGATATCTTAATACAACGAGGAACACATTGCATACCAGGTATGATGCACTGAGGTTATATTGTCTCTGGGGTATCTTTCCTAAAAATGTATAACCTCAATTTAATCATGAGAAAATACCCAACAAACCCCATCATGAGAAAACATCAGAATGGGCATTCTGCTATTCAAAAGTTTCAGGATTGTGTAACACAAGGGAGACCTAAAAAAAATTGTCATATGTTGGAAGAGACTAAGGAGATGTGATGATGTGGATTCAAGTCTTTTAAACTGCCCTAGCTGGTTTGGCTCAGTGGATAGAGCATCAACCTGCGGACTGAAGGGTACTGGGTTTGATTATAGTCAAAGGCACATGCCTGGGTTTCAAGCTCAATCCCCAGGATGGGGCAAGCAGGGAGCAGCCAACCAATGAATCTCTCATTGATGTTTCTACCTCTTTCCCTCTCATCCTCTCTGAAATCAATAAAAAAAAAAATTTAAAAAGAGTAACGTACCTATGTTGATTTCTTTTTTCAATGTATCTTTATTGTTGAAAGTATTACAGATGTCCTTTTTATTCCCCCATTAGTCCCCTCCACACTGCTGCCATTGATTTCTTAATTTTGATAATTATGGCAGGGTTTCTCAGCTTTGGCACTGGTGGCATCTGGGGCTGGATAATCCTTTGCTGTGGGGGATGTGCATTGTAGGATATTTAGCAGAATCTTTGGCTTTACTCACTAAATGCTAGTAACAGTGCCTCCCAACTCCACCCATTTGTGACAACCAAAAATGTCTTAAGACATTATCAGATGTCCCTTGGGGAACAAAATCGCCTGGTTAAGAACCTCTATTCTGTTATTAGCATCTGCTAATACAAGGTAAGGCTGGGTGAAGGGTATATGAAATTCTATCTTCTATACCAAAACACTTATACTACTTCTGTAACTCTGCCCTAACTCTAACATTATATATATTTTAAAAGATTATTATGCTAATACATGCTCGTAAAAAAATCAAAACAGCATTATTTAAGGTGTTCATTTCTTCATCTCTATCACCAGTGGTAGTTATAACATATTTGATTGAATCCAGAAATTTTCTGTGATATAAATCTATAGTTTTTACACCATTAATTATACATATTCTAAAACTGATACTGTTCATTAGCTTGCTTTTTATACTCTTAATGCTTTGATATATTTCCATAGGTGATGTCATTAAGTAATTTTTTCATTTGTTATGCCTTTCTACATACTATAATGGCTATGCTATACTATGATTTGCTTTTTTCCACCCAGAAAATACATCCCTGCTATGTATGGGCCAGGCTCTATTTTGAGTGCTTTACATAAATTAACTCATTTACACTTTACATAAAAGATATGCATGAAATATATTTTATTTCTCACCCTCACTTTTTCAGCTGGGAAAGTTGAAATGCAGAGTTAAGTAAGTAATTTGTTCAAGGTCACAGCAAATGGTAGAGCCAGGCTTTGAGCTAAAGCAATCTGGCTCTTAAGTGCTCTTAAGCTTCTACCGAATCCTGTCTCTACTTTCTTGTGAACATGATGCCCTCCTTTTCACTGTGCCTCATTCTTTTTAGTGATCACATGAGGGCCCATGCTGTAGATGAACCATAATTGAACTTTCCTGTTAGTCTCTTTTACTTCCATATTTATCTCCAGCCTTGGGTCCCCAACCACCTCCTCCGTGTCCCATGGACACCACAGACTCCATTTTAAATGGACTCAGATTGAACTCATCCTCCTCCAACCTTTGCCTCTTTCTATGTCCCCATCTGAGTGGCAATGCCAACATCCACCAGTCATCAGGTTGGAGGCAAGAGCCAGCTTGAGAGGGAATAAGTGACGGTGTTTGGGTCAGTGGCACAGGCCAAGGGTTAGCTTTGCCCAAAAAATAAAATAAGGATTAGACTTGAACATCTGAAGGAAAGAGGGAGGGTGGAGAAGCCAGATTTAGGCTTTGGGTTGTTTGATGCTTATCACCAAGGCAACTGCGTTGCTATGGCAACAGTAAAGACAGCACCGCCTCTCCCAAGCATCTGGTCGGCTGCCCTTTTACCTCCGCACTGGCTAAGACACTTCCGTCAGGTGGGCTGCGGCCCTCCGGAAACGGCTTAGGAAGACGGAAATTGCGGCTGCAGTAGCCAATCGGATAGGCTCTGTGGCTAAGGACGCCCAGGAGGGATGGGGACTTCTTTGAAGCTTGCAAAAGGGAGTTGAGAAGGCGGGAGTGCATCCCTTCCTCACCACTTAGAGGCTCCAGGAGAGCAAGGAGGCGGGGCCCAGGTGAAAAAGGGTGGGGCGGGTACGCCCTCTTTCGCTCTTGCCCAATAGAAAGCCAGTTAAGATGCCCAATGGGAGTCGCCGCCAGACCGCGCCCCACCAATAGGCGGCCGCGCTGGGCGGGTGCGGGCGGCGGAGGCGGGGCGGCGGGGGCGGAGCAGGCGCTGCCGCAGGAGGGAAGATGGCGGACGAGGAGAAGCTGCCCCTCGGCTGGGAGAAGCGCATGAGCCGCAGCTCAGGTGCCACGGGGGTCCGGGCTGGGGCGGGGCCGCGCGGGTCTGCGGGAGCAAGGCTCGAGCTCGCCCTCGGGCGCGGCGCCGCCGCCCTATTCCCGTGGGGTCTTGGCTCCGCATCCTCCCGGGTAACGGCCCCGGCCCGCCCCGTGGAGGCTTCGAGCCTCTGGAGCCGGGAAGCGGGAAGCGGGAGGAAACAGGCGGGGCCGGGGCCAGGGAGGCCCAGCGCGTTGCGGGGCGGCGGGGAGGGGCTGGTGATCCCACGGCATTCCTCCAAGCGATGGCCCTGGTCCTGCGGACCGGGCTGACCCCTCCCGGCCTCGTGCACCTGACCTCGCCGGGGAACTCCTCTGCACCCCGCTGGTCCTGGGGGTCAATCTCTGGGTGAGAACACCCGAAGGCCATGCTTCTTAGGGTGTGGCCACAGGGTTTGCCCCGGCCTCTGATGCACAACCCACTCCTGCTACCACTCCTGCCACCCACACCTAATGCTGAGCCCCTGTTCTTGGGTCCCATATAAGGCTTATCCGTAGTCATAATGTCAACAACAGGGTACTTTTATTAGCTGCAGGCATTGTGCCAAGCGTTTTTTAGGGTCTTCTCTGAATGGCCACAACTCTGGGTAGTCGGCAGTCATCACCCCCATTTTGCAGGTGAAGTAACTGAGGCCAGGAAAATGAAGGAATTTGCCCAAAGTCATTCATATTTCTGGGGGGCGGGGGCTGAGGGCTCCAGAGCCCCATGCCCTTGTCACTGCAAACTGCAGAGTAGCAGGCCCTGCATCTTGTTCCACCCCTTCATTGTCCATAGCTGCCATCGCCGTAGTGATAACTGATGAGCACTTTGCATCCCTCATCATGGACTCTCCACATTAACCCCATGAAGTTTGATGGCCTCATCTCTCACTTCCCCGACATTTTTCAAAGAGATAGAGTCCATTACCAAGGTTTTATAGACCTTCCCTGGCTCAACTCTCACTCCCCTTGCTCCAGCCTGGCCTGTGGCTGTGACCTGTGCCATAAAGCTGACGCTCTGCTCAGCTCTGGCCCCCTCCCCCCAGTTCTGCCATTCCTGCTTGGCGTGTTCCCTGACAGTCCTTAAGGTGACATCCAGCCCTTCACAGAGCTGGGCACAAGTCCCCCATGTAACACAGACACACTCTGGGCCCATGGAATGACACCCCCTTTCTACTGGGCCCCTCCCACTTCAAGTTTCTTGTGTGCCGTGTTCACTCCATGCTCCTCAGTCGCTGAGTAACATCTGGCCCCTTGTCCAGCACGGTACGCTGTAGGGGAAAGAGCAGAGTTTGGTGTCTGACACCCCTGAGTACGGTTCCTGCTTCCCTCCACAGTGAGCCTGGAGCAGAGTAATCGCTCGGGAAGCATTACCTAGTTTTGTCATCCATAAAAGGAGATAGTAATAGCGGTCACCCTCTTAAAGGCGTGCCAGGAGCCATCCTAAGCACTTGACAGATGTGAACTCATTCAGTCCTTACCTCAGCCCACCAGGCAGGTACTGTTGTCATCTCCGTGGTACAGGTGAGAAAACCGAAGCCCGGGGAAGGTAGGTCATACGGTGAGTAAGAGACAGAACCAGGTGGGAATAGGTGGTCTGACTGCCGAGCGCATGCTTGGAGCCACTTCATCTCCCCCACCCTGGTGCGCCTCTGAGGTGGGGCTGGCTTCTCTGTTGTCACCCCGGCTCATTCACAGTTCTCAGTGACTAAGTTACCGTGTCCTGTTCGCTTCACTGGTGCCGATCCGTCCCCACCGAGAATGTTGGCTCCCTAAGGGCCTGTGGCATGCGGTGGACGCACAGTGAATGTGCTGAATCATGGCATCTCTTAGGCCAGTCCCTTTTTCTGGCCTCGGGGGGGTGTCCTCTGGGCAGGCCCAGCTGAATATCCACCTCCTCTCCCTCCAGGCCGGGTGTACTACTTCAATCACATCACCAACGCCAGCCAGTGGGAGCGGCCAAGTGGCAACAGCAGTGGCAGCGGCAAAAATGGACAGGGGGAACCTACCAGGGTGCGCTGCTCACACCTGCTGGTCAAGCACAGCCAGTCACGGCGGCCTTCGTCTTGGAGGCAAGAGAAGATAACCCGGACCAAGGAGGAGGCCCTGGAGCTGATCAACAGTGAGCAGAACTGGAGACAGGATCTGGGGGTAGAGGGGGGGACCTCTCCCTGAAGGGGCCAGAGCAAGCCTCGTAGAAATCACACCAGACCCTGTACCCCAGCCTGCTCAGCTATGAGGGGTGGCACTGGCTGACACAAAAGTGCCTTCACATGACGTGAGCCTGGCCACATGCCCGCTCCTTTCTCTTTCCGTCTGTAAGAGCGGGAAGAGCCAGCGTTGGGGCTAGCAGATCCCTGTAAGCTCTGTGACCTCAGGGGCCCACGTCACCTCCCTGAGACTCAGTTTTCACCTCTATAAAATGGGCATCATCACACACCTGCCTCTGAGGGTCGCTGTGAAAATTCAGTGAGATGAGACAGTGCACGGGGCCCGGTGAGCCCTCAGTCAGTAGGAGTGATTGATGACGCTGCCATCAGACAGGGTTCTGCAGTGCATCCAGGAGTGGGTCTGGAGGCAGGGAGGGAGATGGGGAAGGTACGGAACTGGCCGGCAGTTGGTAAGTTCATTCTGCCGGAGAGAGGCTGTCTTGGCTCTGTTCTGTTTTCTCCGAGTCTGGAACAATGGTCGGCAAACTTTTTCTTAAAAGGCCAGATGGTAAATATTTTCGGTTTTCCAGGCCCAACAGTATCTGTAAGCTCTGCTTTATAAAATGATATCATTACACAAAATGTAAACAAATGGGCGTGGCTATATGCCAATCAAACTGTTTACAAAAACAGCGAGCCTGTGGGTCGTTGTTGGCAGAGCTGTCCATTATAGCTGCCGCTACCTACATGCGCCAATGTCCATGTTTTAACATGAAGTAATGTTAAAAATCGGCTCTTTAGTCATGCTGGCCACACTTCATGACTAGGGCTGCCAACGTGTGGCTAGGGCTGCCGCCTTGTGCAGTGCATTGTAAACATCTTCATCCTTGGGAGAAGCTCTTGTTGGACAAGGCTAACCTGCATCTCACCTGTGATTTCATCAGCTACTCAGCCTCTCCCACCAGAGACTCCAGACCTCTTCCTGGCTGCTCCTGCCCCACATAACTGCTCCCTCATCCATGCCCAGATGGCCCGAGTTCCCGTCCGACTCTGCCAGGTCCTGGCGGTGTGACCTTGAGCAAGTTGCCTAACATCTCTGAGCCTTCATTTCTACCTGTAAAATTAGTATTTATAAGAGAACCCACCTCCCAGGGCAGTTATGAGGACTCTGACCTAATACAGGAAAGCACGAATAACAGCCCCTGGCACTTAGTTAACGTTCTATAATTACTCGCGGTGATTATGATTGTTGTTATTAGCACAGGCCTGGCAACGAGCACACAGCCAGTCAGTATTAGCTGCGCTTAACTATCATATCACTTGGTCCAGTACTTGCCCGGGAAGATATTACTTACACACATGCATACACCCTCCCCCGTATGGGGTCTGGCATGATAAATGACACCTGTTAGCCTCATGCCTCATAACATTATAGGGAGGATCTCAGTTCTTGCACAGAACCTGAGGCAGATTAAAAAACTCGCCTCCTGAGCTTCACCAGGGCAGGGACTGGATCTGCTCTGTCCCCTGTTTCCCTACTACCCAGCACACAGCCAGGCCCGTGTGAGCCCTCAGCATTGTTCATGGAGCAGTCGGAGGCAGAGCATTCCTGGCCGAGGACATGACAGAAATAAAGGCCTGGCGCTAGGCTGTGAACGGAACTCTGGAAGGCTGTGCAGGGGACTGAAGAGGGACCGCATCCTTCAAGGGCAGGTCCTGGCCCGGTTGAGAAGGGCCCAGAGTAAGGCAGAGAGTTGGGGTCTTTCCTGGTCATTGCAGGTGTGGCCCGGAGAGGGCCCTGCAGCGGTGTGCTTTCAGAATTGTGTGGCTGGAGGTGTGCGGCCAGGGGAGCCAGAAGGTCCAGCGGCCAGGTTGGCTGGGACCAACTATGAGTGATGGGAAGGCGGGGGAGGGGGAGAGGGAAGGGGAGGAGAACTGGCTGCCTCAGGGGAAAGAGAGGAAACAGTGGAGAAAGCCCAGAGAGAATCTTGAGGTGGCATCTTGGGTTCTCCCAGCTCAAGTGGTCCCTGTTCCAAGGCTTCTGGACCACAAGACAGAAAGACATAAGAGGTGCCGCCACTGGTAGAGAGGACTAGGAGAGAGATGCAGTCTGAGGAGGGGCTCACTACATCTGGGGGCCTGAGGAAGAGACGGTGGGAAGGCAGCTGGGAGGGGGCTTGAGCTCAGCTGTCAGGCTGTGAGGATGCTTTCCCATCGTTAGAATGGGATAGGTGTGTGGTAGGGCTGACACTTGTGGGGCCTGAGAGTGCTGAAGTCGGCTCGGGTTTTGAGGAGGGTAACGTGGGAGCGGGTGCTCCCCATAAGCCCTGAGGCCTAACCTTAAGTGGATGCAGACTGGGTTAGCAGGGGTAGGGCATGCCCACCTGTGCTGGAGGGCCTGGTGGGAGCTGTGGGAGGAATTGCAACTATAGATGATGTGACTTGAACTTGGAGGTGGGTGGGAGGAGCGGAGCATATTCTAGAAAGATTAGGAGGCAGAATCCAGAGGAATCGGTGATGGATTAGATGGGCAGGGATAGGGTAAAGTCAGAACCATGTAGCCGGACCTGGAGTCACACAGAGATGGGTCCTGGTGCCAGCTGTGTGGCCTTCAGCAGTGTCTTCATTTTCAGAGCCTCGGCTTCCTTTTCTGTAAAGTGGGGGACAAGGTGGCCCTGAAGGTCCAGGGAGTACTCAGAAGAGCAATGGGCTCAGTGTCTGGCGCTCACTGTGTGCTGGAGCCTTGACTTCAGTCATTTAGGCGTGTATGGTGGGGGCCAAGGTCAAGACCAGGCCTTTGCTCTGCAGCCCCTGCAGCTTCCCTGAGGCTGATGGAAAGAACTCGGGCCCGTGGAGAGAGCCTTGGTCAGGGGTGCGGAAGCTGGTGGGCTCAGGGGCAGACCCTCTGATGACCTTGGGCAGTGAGCTTCCTCTTCTGCCTCCGTGCCCTGAGACTCTGAGCTGGGGCCGGGGCCGGCCTCCTTCGGGTGGTTAGGAGGGAGCAGTGAGATGCAGGCTGGTGCCATGACAGCGAGCTTGGGGCGTTTGGCTCCTTTTCCTCCCGTGGAAGTGAATGTTCCCCGTCGTGGGCTTGTTCCAGGTGATCAGGAGATGAGGATTTGGGCAGCACACTTTGTCACTGGCAGCCGGGTCTGGAGGCTCATCAGTACCCATTTAGAGCCAGTGCTGCCCGTTGCCCAGGGGGACAGGCTGCCTGCAGTGAGAGCCAGTGCTTCCGAGTTTTCTGCTGATGCCCCTGTTCTCAGCGCGGCTCCTCTGCAGCTGCTGGGCTGTGGCCAGGAGCGATCCGAGATCAACTGCTGCCTGTAACCCCGGTGTCCTTGCTGCGGGGGCCAGGCCGCGGAGAAGAAAGGGATGGAGAGCAGGTGGGGAGCTTCCCCGTGACCCGGTCCAAGGACCCAGGGTCAGTTAGTGCAGTGGTTCAGATCTTCCCGCCCTGGGCAGTGACTCTGGTCTCTCTGGGCCCTTTCTGCTGGGTCTTAGGACTTGCGGGATGACAGGACTAAACCCTCTTTCCCTTGTTTGTCTCCAAACCTTCTTAGAGTCAGAGGCCACCCTATTTGTTCATTCACTTCCCTCAGGTAATTTGCTGTCATCACAAAGCCTGTCCTTGGTGTGTGCCCATGTGGAGAGAGACATGGAACTCTCTGGTGTCTCTTCTCATAAGAACACTAGTTATCGGCTTCACTTAACCTTAATTATTTCTGTAAAGCCCCATCTCTCAATACAGTCACATTGGGGGTCGGGGCTTCAGCACATGAATTGGAGCACACAATTCAGTCCATATTGTGGGGACCGATAGTTAGTACCTGTCAAGGGTTTGCTCTGGGCCAGCCCTGCCCCGAGGTAGGAGCTGCTAATTAACCCATTTTTCAGGTCAGGAAAGTGAGGCTCCGAGAGGGAAAGTCACCCAGCAGGGTCACAGAGGTCAGGAGCAGTGAAGCTGGGATCTGAGCACAGCAGTTAAGGTTCCAAGTCCACCCCCTCCGCCTCAGGCCTGTGTTGTGCCGGCAGAGGCAGAGGCTGTTCCGTTGCTCATCCTGTTTCAGGAGTCCTGAACTCCCCAAGCAGGCAGAAGGTGCCTGCTCCAGACCGGGAGCTCCTGGTGAGGCTGCCTGGTCTGCCTGGCTCCCTGTCCCAGCCGGAGCTTCGTTGGAGGGGGGTTGAGTGGGCGCTGTTTTGGTGACTGGTGTTGACGCAGTCAGGTGAGGCCAGGGCGTGGAAAAGGCCAGGACGTCTGGTTTGTTCTTTCTGTGATGCCTTCTCTTTAGTATTTGGGCCCGAGGTTCACAGAAAAAGTAGGAGATTCTGGCATTTCTGCCTACAAAGCCCAGTGGTGGATCCCTCTCCCTCCTTCCCCGTGGCCTGTTTCTGTCTCATTTATTCACGAATTCCTTCAACATTAGTGAACATCTGCTTTGTATAGTGCCAGGTGCTGAGGACACAGCAGTGAGCAAGGCTAGCCCAGCCCCCATCCTCTGGGTACAGGCACACACAGGACAGTGTTAAACGCAGGGCTCAGGGGGGCACCTCACAGAGCAGGGGCTCAGGAAAGGCTTTTTTTTTTTTTTTTTAATATATATATATGTTTTTATTAATTTCAGGGAGGAAGGGAGAGATAGAGATAGAAATCAAAACATCAATGATGAGAGAGAATCATTGATTGGCTGCCTCCTGCACACCCCCCACTGGGGATCAAGCCTGCAACCCTGGCATGTGCCCTTGGCCGGAATGGAACCCGGGACCCCTCAGTCCGCAGGCCAATGCTCTATCCACTGAGCCAAACCAGCTAGGGCTTAGGAAAGGCTCTTGAGGCGAGGGAGTTACGGGCAGAAGACAGCAGGCCAGCTTCAAGTGGGAAGAGATGCCTGAGCAAGGATGGAATTTTGTTTTGTTTTGTTTTGTTTTGTTTTAATATCTTTTATTGATTTTTTTACAGAAGGAGAGAGGGATAGAGAGCTAGAAACGTCGATGAGAGAGAAAAATCGACCAGCTGCCTCCTGCACACCGCCTACTGGGGATGTGCCCGCAACCAATGTACATGCCCTTGACCGGAATCGAACCTGGGACCCTTCAGTCCACAGACCGACGCTCTACCACTGAGCCAAACCGGTTTCGGCAAGGATGGAATTTTGGATACCATCAGGGTGGCAGGTGGATGGGGCTGAGGGAGCAGAGAAGCAGGGTAGGACTGGGAGGGACACCCTGTGGGGTATAAGAGTGGAGATGAGGGTACACGGGAGTCTGAGGTTCCCTTGCATCGTGGCTTGTGGCCAAGACCAAACTCCTGAAGGTCAGCCTCCACAAGGTGAACTGAGGAGGGAAGCATATTTTTTTAAAATATCATTTCAGGCTCCATCTGAGCAGAAGGTTTTCTGAGAGAGCTGGCTGCTCGGAGGAAGATTTGGGTACTTGAACTATGGGGCAGGGGGATGTTAAAAGCTTGACTTTTGCCCAGGCCAGTGGTTGTAGCATCAGCCCATGCACTGATGGGTTGAGGGTTCGATTCCCAATCAAGGGCACGTACCAGGGCTGCAGATTCAAGATCCCCTATCCAGTTGGGGTGCGTGCAGGAGGCAACTAATCGATGTGTGTCTCTCACATCCATGTTTACCTCTCTCCTCCCCCCTCTCCCACTCTCTAAAAAAATCAGTGGAAAAAATATCCTCAGATTAGGATTAACAAAAACAAAAAGCTTGACTTTTATCTGGTTTTCAGGCTGGCAGCGCCTGCTCACATACACACTGTGTGCTTCTTGGCCAGTCCCTGCAGTTATGCCCATGGCCAGCTGCTGGCGGATGCGGCCAGGTGGCCACAGTGACATGCTTGGAGTGGGCTCAGGTCTCGGCCTGGCTCTGCAGGTGCTGGGCATGTGCGGACAGTGTGCCTCTTTACAGCAGACAGGTACACACGCAGCGGGTGGTGCGCTGTGTGCTCAGGATCCCGGGCTGCAAACTGAGGTCCAGGCAGAAGAGACAGGAGGAACCTTGGTGCTGGGGGGGGGGGGGGGGGGGCGCATGGAGATACCTGGAAGTCCAGGGAGAGGGAGGGGTATCCTAGTGGCATCCGGTGCAGGTCAGAGTCACCTATGGATGCATCTGGTACAGAGGCACCACCTAGCAGCCCCATGGAGGTGTTCCAACCTCACCAGGGCATTGTGGTCAAAAGCCACTGCACCTTGCAGGCAAGCGAGCGGGGCTTCTGTTGCACTGGTGAGTCTGCCCAAGCAAGCAACACCCCAGACCAGACTGAGGTGTGCCAGCGAGGAAGCCAGGATGGGCAAGTCAGGGAGAAGTAGAGACAGCCTCATCAGGGATGTGGAACCCATAGGGAAGGGGGAATGGTGAGAGCAAATGACACTTCTCAAGTTCTCACTCGTGTCCCGCACTGTGTAGCATGTCACTGGTCTGCTAGTAAATGACTAATAATTCAGACTCGGAGGCAAAGGGATGGTGAGAACAAGACAGGAGTGACAGGGACATGGGGAAGGCAGGGGTGATGGCGATGGTCGTGGGAGCATGAAGCAGATCAGACACCAGGGCACTGGTTGCTGCTGTGAGTTCAGAGAGACAGGTGATAAGCATACTGTCATGGGCATGCCATTTTATTATTTTATTATTATTATTATTATTATTATTATTTTAATAATTTTATTGATTTTTTTACAGAGAGGAAGGGAGAGAAATAGAGAGCTAGAAACATCGACCAGCTGCCTCTTGCTGGGGATGTGCCCGCAACCAATGTACATGCCCTTGACCGGAATCAAACCTGGGACCTTTCAGTCCACAGACCTACGCTCTACCACTGAGCCAAACCGGCTTCGGCTGGGCATGCCATTTTAACAGGTCCTTGCAGATGGGTGACTGTGACCTTGAGGTCATACAGGAGTCCAAGAGAGCTGGCTGCTCAGAGGAAGATTTGGGTACTGTGAACTGTGGGGCAGGCGGCGGTGGGGGGGTAAAAGCTTGACTTTTTGCCTGGCCAGTGGTTAGAGCAGTGATTATCAAACCACAGCTCGAGAGTTTGCCGACCACTGAGTTAGAGCATCGGCCCATGCACTGAAGGGTCAAGGGTTCGATTTCCGGTCAAGGGCATACCTGGGTTGCTGAATTTTTGTTATATTTGTTATATATGATTGGGGGAGAGTGATGAAGGCAGCAGGAGTTTAGGATGGATTATGAGACCAGGATGGCTGTTGAGGTTACTGCAGTGCACATACGTGTGGAAGGCACCACTTCATGGGCTCCTGTGCCTCCAGGCGTGTGCAGGGAGAAGGCATTTGTGGCGGTGTTAGCCTGTGAGGGTGGTGAGTGTCCACACATGCGTACAGTAGAGCAAAGGTAGCACAGCCTCGTTCTGAGTGATGTGCCGCCGCTCACCAAGCTCTCGGCCTGTCCCGCCCCTGACACGGTTTCCTGTGTGCTCATGTGTGTGTCCACAGGCTACATCCAGAAGATCAAGTCCGGAGAGGAAGACTTTGAATCTCTGGCTTCACAGTACAGTGACTGCAGCTCGGCCAAGGCCAGGGGAGACCTGGGTGCCTTCAGCAGAGGTGTGCAAACAACGGGCACCACCCAGCCCCGGGGGACCCTCTGGCCCTCCAGCCTGTGGAGCAGGGGTGGGAACCTTTTTCTGCCAAGGGCCTTTTGGGTATTTATGACATCATTCACGGGCCATACAGAATTATCAACTTAAAAATTAGCCTGTTAATGTTTGCTCAAACATTTAATTAACTCACCCCAAGGCCCCGCAGGGCCAGGCCTACACCACAGGATGTTCCCCCACCTGCTGTGGAGGATGGGCGGGATGGCCCTGCGGCACAGGCCTCAGAGTCCACCAGGTGGCAGCACAGTCCCTTCCTCAGGCTTCAGAGGCTGCCTTGCTGGTGAAGGGCAGGGATGACTGCAGAGCCTTCTCCCGAGTCATTCTCTCCCAGTCTGTGTTTCTTTGTACACTTTTCCCCGCCTCAGACCCCCAAGCTGCATTTTGCCTTTCCTCCAGCTGGAGGTATAAGGCAGGGCCCCTGAGAACCTCAGGGTGGTCTCTCGTAACCTCTGCCCCTCCCTTACTGGTGGGGAACTAGGGCTGAGGGGAGGATGGGTTGGATCAGCAGCTCTGAGTTTAGGGCTCTCTAGTTGGGACAGTGGGACGGGAGGAGCAGAGGGGACCAGCTGACCACCTCATCTTCTTTGTCCTCCCTTCCCTCCACCCCCAAGATGCCCAGGATGGGGCAAGGGGTGTGGGGTAACCAAGGAGCTGCCGCCCACCCCAGGAGGCAGACGGGGCAGACAGGACAGATGATGTGGCAGGGGCTGGGAGCTGGGTCTAGGGAAACATTCATCACTAAAGTGCATCTCTAAGCACACAGAAGCAACAGCAGCTCTGCCTGGCATCCCTCATGCTGTCCTCAGGCTTCCTGGGGCCTCCTTAATGGCCCTGCCACCTCCAGCTGGGCTGCTCAGCACGGTGACAGGGCCATAAACCAAGTGACAGATGAGCGGGAGCCCCATCTGGCCGTCCTGCCTGGTCCGAGCTTCTGCCATATCCTGACCCCCACACTTCCTCCCTTACGCTTCTCCAGGTCAGATGCAGAAGCCATTTGAAGACGCCTCCTTTGCGCTCCGGACAGGGGAGATGAGCGGGCCCGTGTTCACGGATTCCGGCATCCACATCATCCTGCGCACGGAGTGAGGGGCAGGCGGCCCAGGCCTGGCCTTGGGGTGGGGCGGGGCAGGCAGGGTGGCTGGGCCCGGAGGCCCTGCGTACTGCTGCCAGCCGAGCATGGGCGCCTCTCCCTGCTGATGTCACACAGTATTTATTGTTCCCAAATGGCTAGGGGAGGGGCTGTCACCATTAGGGGCTCCCTGTCGGACCAGGTTGGGGCTGTCCCCGCAGACTCCTCCCTCTTTGGAATTGACTCAGAAGGACAGCGGAGTGGGGAGGCTCCAGAGCTCCAGACCCAGGGGCTGGGGGTGACCTGTCCCAAAGGAAGGCCTAGTCGGCTGAGCTGTCCCGTGTCCAGGATGGGGTGGACGGGCCTTACGTTGTTTCTGGTTATGCCGTGTTCCTCTATTAAATTGCAAAAAGCAGATGCTCTGTGTGGGGCCCAGGCTGCTGCTGCCGTGGGGCCCTCTGAGCAGCAGCGCAGCACCCCGCACCCTCCATTAAACCTGGAACCACTGCTCTGCTGTCCTGTGTCTCATTTCCTCCCGCTGAGGGGAGCAGGCCTCTCCCGCCGCCACTGGTGTCCAGCCTGCGTTTCCTCCCCGAGAAGCCTCCCCATTCTGGGCCTCAGGACAGCCAGAGTGCACCCCAGCATCCAGGCTCCAGGGGAGCGGGGCACTGTCAGCGCCAGTGGTCCTCAGACCTGGGTGTTCCAGAATGCAAGGACACTGCCTGGACCCCACAGCCCTGGACTCAGCCCTGGAGCTGGAGACATACAGGGGATCCTGGGAGATACAGATTTAAGCCTCTGCCCTGGGTGCTCCCGGCACACACCACAGACCACACCAGTTAGAGTGAAGGATGCCCCGCAGCCTGGTGCTTCTACCCTGGCAGGTTGTGCCTGGGTCCTGCCACCCCTGAAGATGCTGGGGAGGCCTTGTGCTGGACGGGTGGGGGCTGTCAGAGCAGAGGGGATCCCTGTGGCTGATGGGAGAGGTGGTGGGCTCTCCCTCTTAGGGTGGGGGTTGTGGGTATGGCCTGCTCTCTATTCCTTCCTCAGAGCCGCCTCTGTGCCAGGGCCTGGGCTGGGGACTCAGTTCATGCTGGGAGTTATGGGCCTGTTAGGTGGTTATGCCCACTCCGCTGCCCCCTTAATGGGGATTAGCCTGCATCGGGGATAGCAGACTGCCAGGGGTTGGGAACCTAAGCAAAATAGAGCCCTGACTGGCTTGACCTCAAGGGAGGCACAAACCCAGGACTGCGTCTCAAACAGTCACCTGGGCGGACTCCAATCTGGCAGGTTTCTGGAGCAGTTGCTGTCCGCCTGCGCCTGCTGGAGCATTTGTCATTAGGAAGGTTTAATGAGTTTCAGCTCTAGTGGGCTGGGGAGTCGGCTAGTTGGCTGCACCTCCTGGCAGAATCTTCCCTCGCCTTCGGGGGCCACAGGCAGGCAGCAAGCTACCCCACTGTTTTGTGTCAGCAGTTCTGTGGGGTCAGGGGAGCGGTCACACCCCTCCTGGCCCAGCGGTGCCCCTGGGAAGGACCAGAAGTGAGTGCTTGTGGGGCAGGAGGGTGTCTGAGTTCTGCTTTAAACCAGAACAGGCACTTTCCACACCAAAGGCCCAGAGGAGAAGTCCCTGGACTCCAGGGGGCTAAGATGCTGCAGGGAGCGTGGGGGGGTGTATTTCCTGTCCTGGTCCCTGTCACACTGGGCATCCACGTCTCTCTCACACGTGCATGTGGCCGTGTACCCCTAGTTGTCTCTAGGGATGTATCCAGTGCGACCCTGGGAGTAACCCTCCTCCCACCTCCCCACCTCCCCAGGCTGGGTGTGACCCTGCCTTCGTGGGCCCTCCTCCCCTTCCTTTGTCTAGCTGTGCCGCAGCCAAAACCCAAACACAAAAGAACGTCACTCTTAGATAAACATGTCCCCAGAGCCCTCTCACAGTCTGGCTGATTCATGGCTGTGGCTCTCCTTACCTGCTCCACATCCCCCCATCCCCTCCTGCCCAGAAGGGAGGTCAGAAATCCCTGCCTTCAGGATGGTGACAACCGTGTAGCCTCCCCTCCCCGCTGAACTTGGTCCCAGGGACCGGTGCTCACTCCTCCACCCTGTGCACCAGCCCAGGATTCTGTGGCCACAGGGCGGGGCCGGTCTGTGTCCCCTCAGCTCGGGGAAACGCGGGTACTGCCACTGCTTTCCAATGGAGCCCGGTGCACCTCCATGAGGGGAGGGCAGAGTTAGCCGAGAGGGTGGCCACGCAGATGGCAGATGACCCTGGACCCTGGCTGGGGAGGGTGTGGGTGAATTATTCCTGCCTGTCCTTCGTTGGATATACTGTTGACCCTGGAACAACGTGGCTGTTACGGGCACTGGCCCTCGTGCAATCAAAAATCCCCCAAAACTTAACTACTAATAGCCTACTGTTAACTGGAAGCCTTATGGATGATATAAACAGTCCATTAACATATTTCCTATGTTATATATAGTATATACTGTATTCTTGCAGTAAGCTGGAGAAAAGGAAATGTTAAGGAAATCTCAGAGCACACCCCGACTTGCCGCTAGGGCACGTGACCTTTGCCCTTCTCTCCTAAATTCCAAGGGCCCTTTTGCTTCTGTAACCTACGTAACCCAGCAGGCTCACTTCTACCACCTCTGTAACTTTCTAAGTAAACTTCCTCTTATAGCTTGAAAAAAAGAAAATCCTAAGGAAGAGAAAATACATTTGTTGTATTGGGGGCGAGAGGGGGGGGGGGGGGGGAGTATTTGCATGTAAGTGGACCTGCACAGTTCAAACCCGCGATGTTGAAGGGTCAACTGAATATCCCTGTAAGTATATCCAGTATAAGGAGTGCTGGGCCTGCCGGTATGTGAGAGAGAGGGGAATGGGGAAGGGAGGGTGGAGGGGTATAATACCAGGTGCCTGTGGCATCCATGTGAGGACACGTACAGATGTGACGGTCACACCCACCTACCCCTTTTCTCATGAGTGTCTCCAAGTCTGTATATTTTGGACAAAGATTGTCGAACTGAGCAATCCCAGTCCCTCACCTCACTTTGGGAAAATTCACTAGGAGAACTGCTCACCTTGGAGACTTGCCTCCAAATGAATAGTGGGAGGGTGGCGGGCGGATGTTCTGAGTGCCCCAGCCTGGGGCCTGTCTTCTAAGCAGGTACAGAGCGAAGTGCCTTTCAACATGTCTATCCAGGGATCGATTCTTTTCCTGTCAAACTTGTTAATTTAAATGGAAATTAATTGCTCCTCTTGAACATTTCTTTAAAAATTGGTTTTAAATGAATGCATTAGGCAGTCACATTTATTATTCATTGGCTTCCTTCACAATATGGCCCCGGCGTCCCGAGTTCCCGGAGATGATTTAATCAAGGAGGCCATTAATTAGAGCTGAGGAGCTGGGGGACGGGGGTTCCACCCAGAGGAGCAGGCTTCACAGCTGCTGGCCTCAGCGGGTGAGGTGGGGGTGGGGTCTGGGCCAGTGGGGTTCTTTGCACAGTTTCTGCTCAGGATTCGGTGGAGACCATATGTGGTGGACAGTACGACCTTTGTTCCTGGTCACTCTCCCACTCTCCTTGCTGCCTCATCCAGGCCACCGGGGACCTGGCAAAAATAAAGCCTTCATCTGCTCTTCCCTTCTGTGACCCCACAGCTGCCCCATCTCTGCCTGACTCCCTCACACACCCCTTCCTGTCTCCGATACTTCCCAGCTCTTCCTGTCCTTCGCCTCCGGGAGTTACAGTCTCCATGTTGGGTCCTCGATGTCAGGCCCACGCCTGCCCAAGCCCCTTCCAGGTGAATGGGGTCCAGGTGTGGGTGTGTTCAACTGAAGGCACCAGTGCACCTTCAGGCTGTTTCTGGCCTTTTGTTAGTAGTTAACTCAGGACAGGTGCCACTCATACAAAATGATTTTGAAATTACAAAGCAAAAAGAGAAGAAAAATGAAAACTACTGTGTCCTAACCACTCATACCCAAAGTCTAGAAGCAGCCAAATGGTTAAAACCCCATTTAAAAAGTTGCCAGAGGGCTCAGAATGCACCAGACTGATCAATGAGTGAGAAAATGATGAAGAATATTCATTTGAGGCCAGTTTTCATTGCTGCAACAGAATTCTCAGGTGTTTGGATCAAATTGCTTTCAAACAAATTGTTTTCCATTGAAACTTCGCCTATTTCCCCAAAGGGCTTGGCTGCCCCCTCTTCTCGATCCCTCTACCCCCGCCAGGAATGGGGGCCAGTGGGGATGGGTCTCCAGGCTCAGGCTTAACCCTGCACCACTGCCTCCTCTGCCCTTTCTGGACACAGAACAACCAACGCATCAAATGTCAAAGGTCCCGTTTATTCCGGCAACCAAGAAGGTAAAGGTGTAATTGAAAATAAAAACAAACAGATCCATGCACTCAGCTCCTTGGAGGGGAAGAGGAAAGGTTCAGAGAGAGAGAGAAAAGGGAATGGGTGGGAGGGAAGCACAGAAGGAAGGAAAGAGAGACAGGCAGAGACAGGGAATGATCTGGAGAGTCAGATCAATCAAAAGAAAAGAGGGACATCAATAAAAAGGCAGGATGACAAAGAACTGGAGTATCAAAATCAGATCAATAAAGGAGAAGAGACAAGATTGAGAAAATGCACCAATAGAAATACAGAGGCAGAGAGTGAAAGCCGGGCGAAAGGCAGGGAGAGGAAAAAGAGACGGGAGGGGAGGCGGGGCAGGACAGAGACAGATCAACTTGAAGGGACACAGGCAGAGTAGAAGGGCCCCCGGTGGCCCTCTAGGGGTCCCCAGCAGTGCTGATGACGTGGAAGAGGGTGACATTGTAGAGCACCTGGTGGCCGTTGTTCCAGGTATAGAGGGCCCGCTCCCGGGGGTTGTAATCCAGCATGGAGATGTGGGAGTACTGGTTGTGGAAGGGCACGTCCGTGTACTCGTAGCTGGACGTGTTGGTGAAGTAAGCAAAGTAGACCTTGGCCCCGGCCAGGTGGGAGTTGGTCACGTAGAGCACACCGCAGATCATGAAGGCCTCCCCAGCGCTGCGCTTGGGGTAGCCCGTGTCCCAGGACCGCATGACCTCCAGGGTGTGCGGGTCCAGCCGGCTGACCACGATGTTGCCCGCGTTCTGGTTAGTGGTGTACACGGCCCAGAGCCCGCTCTCATCTACCATGAAGTCCATGTCGGAGAAGCCACCCCAAGAGTAGGGGAAGGTGTTGTTGTAACCGGCCCCCGGGAGGCTCCTCTGCACCAGCACGGAGCGTGAGCGGAAGTGGTACTTGACGACCACGTTGCTCTGGTACTTGTTGTAGAACAAGGAGCCGTTGTATACCACGTGGCCGGTGCCCGCCCACGGCTGGGGCAGCAGATGCTGGATAAAGTTCTGGCCTTTGATGAAGTCTCCCAGAGTGCGGAACTCCAGCACGCGCCGGCCCTTGTAATAGCCGTCCATGTACCAGACCTATGAGAGAGCCACTGGTCACTGGGGGGCCACTGCCAATGACCCAAAGTCTGTGGCAATCACTCAGGAATCGACCATGATCATTAGGGGCCAACAGTCACTAAATGGTCACTCATGACCTATCCTAGTCACAGTGATTGGGACCATTAGATCAGGGAGTTCCACTGGTCTTAAAACACACACTAAATGGACAGGGCTTGATCCCTATGGATCACGGGAAATTGCAGTCTCTAGAGACTCACTGGACCTGGAAAATTACTGGTCATTGGCTATTGGAAGGTTAGTGGTCATTGGACAGCCATTGGCTGATGAGAGTCACTTGAATTCATTGCCCATGGTAGCCCCTGCAACCATAAGGTGACCAGGCCTGTGATCAGCACTTTCATCATTATCATCACTCACCAGCATATTCATTAGCCCTAGAGCCCTTACTAGGGTTGGTTACTGGGCTATGCATCTTAAAAACAATGCCAACATCATCACGACCCTTTTGGAGATAAGGAAATTGAGTATCCAAGACATGAAGGAACCTTGAGCAGCTAAGAATTGGAACTGAGATGCAAATCCAAGTCTGGTTCCCAAACCCAAGCTCTTAACCACATGGTTGAACCACCATAATCCCTGGGAGGTCAATGTTCATGGCAAGGATATCAGTCACTAGCACATCAGTCACTAGTCACTGGGCAGTTAATGAATGGTCCCTCTAGATCAGAGGTGATTGACAATTCTGGATATAGAGGCCACTGGAAATCCAAAGACACTGAGTGGTGCTGAGTGGGGAGCTTGGAGGGAGCTCTAGTTCTTGTGAAGACACAGGTTACTAGATAGTTACTTAAAGGTCAGTAGTCAAAGGAGCTGGTCAGTAGTACCAGTAACAGTCTCTATACAGTCATCAGAGGTCAACAGACTTGGGGACTCAGAAGGCTAAAAGGTCCTTGATCACTTGGTAATCAGCAGTCAAGGGGAGGTCCAAGGGCTCTGAAGATCCAAAGACACTTTGGGCTACAAGAGAATCATTGGTGTGAACTCACCAGGCACTTATGGGCAGCCACAGGCCGTCCTTCCCTCCCAGGTTCCAACCCCTAGGTGGGCACAGTTACTCACCCGGCTGTCCGCACTGGGAGCCATCGTATCTGTCATCCAGGAGCCGAAGCGGGACCCCATGGCTCTAATGGTGATGGGGTTACTGACCCCAGTCAGCTTCCCACAGCCTGAGAGGCAGGAACAGGGGGAATAAGGGAGTCAGAGGTGGAAAGAGCCCACTGGAGGTAGAGCAAGGATAAAGTGGGGCTGGGAAGAGGTGGGACCAGGGATGAGAGTGGATCCAGAGATCTAGTTCCAAGATGGAGTTAAGTTGAGGGTGATGGGCTAGAAGTCAAAGGTCCGGGCTATTTTCAGCTTTGGGGTCTATTTGTGACTTTGGGAAGGGAGACCAAAGGTCAAAGTTTAGATGTTAGAGGTCAATATTGTTTGGCTTCTGTGGTACTGGGATTGGACATGGAGGTAAGGGGTCAAAGTCAAGGGTCAAAGCATACCCAGCTTCTGGGCACAGGCGTGGAGCCGGGCCTCCAGAGCCATCACCCGCTGCTGCAGGTCCTCATACCCGTAGGCACCCATCTCCTCCTGGATGGCTGCAAGACTGCCGGACAGATTCCTCACCTCTTCCCGCAGGCGCACAATAGTCCGCGTGTCTGCCTTATACTGCTCCAGGACCGAGCTCAGGGGCAGCAGCTCCGTCATCCTGTCCTTCAGTTCCTGCTCACCAAGATGGAACTGTCGCTGATCCCTATCCCTGACCTTTAACCCAGACATGACCCAACCTTTGGCCCATAGTCTCACCCCCTCTCTTTGACATTTGGCCCACACTGGACCCTAGATCCCAGCCAACCCTCAGTCTTCCCAGATGCAATCTCACTCTCAGAAAAATGGGCAACATTCCCAATTCTTTTTTTGACCTCTGACCTGACCCCAAAGGACCCACCTGGAAGCTCTTGGCAGAGAGGGACCCATCAGCTGCCCGGAGCCGTGCATCCAGGTTCCGCATGAGGGTCTCCATGCTGCGCACGTACTGGAGGTCACGGTACGTCCGCAACTCAAGGACCTCCATGGACTGGGAGACATTCTGGACCTAGGAACTGGGAGGGTTAGAGACAGCCAGACTCCTGCCCCAGCCACCTCCTCACCTGATCTTACCAACAGCCTCCCAATGGCAAGCCCATCCATCGACTCCACTCAGGATGGCCACCATCACTTTTCACCTCTCTCCTCTCCTCCCTGGCCTCCTGCTCCCACCCTCGCCCCAACAGTCAGTTCTCACAGAGCAGCTAGAGGGAGTTTTTCAAAGGGAAGACTGGATCTCCCTTCCTCTGTAGACTCTTCCAGCTGGTTCTGCCCCCTTGCCTGCCTCTCTGCATGTGCATCCACTCCAACCACCAGTCCCCTTCACCCTCACAGATTCCAAGTTCCTTTCCTCCTCAGGAAAGGTCTTTGCACTCTCTGATCCCTCTACCTGGAGCACTGTTCCCGTCGTCTTCCCACAGCTGGCTCCGTCTCATCATTCAGGTCTCAACTCCAGCATCACCTGATCACCGTCTCAAGTAGACTCTCACCCACTCTCCCCTCACCCAATTATTATCTTCCCAACAAGGATTGTTATCTGAAATGGTCTTATTCATCTGTTACCTTCAGATGGGATCCTCAGAGGCAGACCCGGTATCTAGCATGTCCACAGCCAAATCTCTAGTGCCCAGCGTGGGTCCTAAGCAGATACTTAATAAATACTTTTTGGCTTAACGAGTAACCTGAAATTCCCTAGCCCTTGACCTCCTAACTCAGCCTGAAGGCCCTCTAGCTCCCACCTCCACCTGGGTCAAGTGAGCTGCCCATAGCCAAGGTAGGGCCCACCTGGCTAAGGTGAGCTCAAAGGCAAGTTGTTGACACAGGCTTTCCACACGACCTTGGAAGTTCTCAACAGCCTGATACCCGCTCTGGCCACCACAGAACTGGATATAGCCATTGTACACAATCAGGGACATCATACAGAATTCCCAAACTATTGGGGAAAGCAATTCTGGTGTAGTGGGTAGGAGGAGCCCACAGAGTTGAGAGGTAGGAGACTCTTGGGTTGACAGGATCCCTTCCGTCCTCTGCCAAGCCTCAGCTTCCTCCTTTATAGGGTGATGGTGGGAGGTAGCTGGTCCCTTTTAACACCAACATTAGAACCGTCTAATGGGCAGTCAGCTGGGCAGTGGCAAGGGCAGCAAGCAGTGTACAAAGGACACCACGTCTGCAGAGGGATGTATTGAATGGGGACCATTTTCTATTGACCATGATTAGAGGGGAAGGAATCTTTATACGAGCCTCTTGGGACACAAAACACCTCAGGAGATAAGTATGACACACTGAAGGGCTGAGTGGGGCGTGCACAGTGAGGGTGGAGCTCACACATGCAGGCGACAGATGCTGCCACTGGAGTCCTCTTTCCTCCTGGTTCCCACACAGAGTTCAGCTTCTCGGCCAAAAAATGGCTGAACAGATACTAACCAAAATATCCATCTGGAGGGGAGGCCGGTTGTCTGCCAGCTCCGAATAACCAGCATGGCTAGACATGGCCCTGGCTGACCTGGATGGGGCGGAGGGCAAGATGAGAACTGGGAGATTTCTCCGAATTCCCCAAAGAAACCTTCTCACCTTCTCCATCAACTGCCGCAGCTCCCGACTCCTGCCATCCCGGGCGCAGGTGCTCTGAGCGGGGATCACGGCCGTGCAGATGCATTTCCCATCAGGGGCCTGGGCCGAAGTATACAGCTGCCAGCCTTCTTCTGGGCTTTGGAAGAGGGTCTGTGGGGAAGCCACGGGTTAGAGAGCAAGAAGCCAGGGGGGACTCAGCCAGCCCTCTCTGGAGGAGAAAGGGGAGCTGGAGAAACAACAGCTGCCTTATACTGGATTTCTGGAATGTGCAGAGTGACTGATGCAGGGGACCCTATGTTACAAACGACAAGATTGAGGCACGAAGAGGAAGAGAACACCGCAAGGAATTGTGGGATTTGAGCCCTTCCACAGGCAGGAATTTAATCTCGCACACGCATTTGCACACACACAACATTGCCTCTATAACCACCATTAGAAATAGAGCTGCTCGGATACCCAACCCCGGATCTTCCTTTCTGCTTCCTCAGCCCAGAGACACATAAGCTCCGGATACACCGCAAAGGCCACTAAGCACAACCCTATTGTCGTCCCCTCGCCATCTCTGCCCCTGCTCCTGAGACACCCAAGCATGACAATGGCCACACAGTGGCAATCCTGAGGGAGACTTTAGGGCCTTGAATACTTTAAGACTCTTCCTAAGCAAAACTTCAAGTTCGTTGATATAACTCAGGTAATTCTGGGATCTATCGTGGCTGTGTTTGCAAGCCATGATCCTTGGAATACTGGCGATCTTACCAGATGTGCTGGGAAAAGGGTCCTCTGTGGTCAGGTAAGTTTGTGCCTTGTTAAAAAAAAAAAAAACACTGGCTGCCAAAACTCTGATATTTCTTTTAGCAATATATTTCTTTTATTTATGTCAGGCAAGAAAAATAAATCAGACTATATCAAACTAAAAAGTTTTGCACAGCAAAGGAAACCATCAACAAAACAAAAAGACAACCTGCAGAATGGAAGAAGGTATTTGATGAAATATCCAATAAAGGGTTAATATCTAACATTTATAAAGAACTCATACAACTCAACACCAAAAAAAAAAAAAAAAAAAAAAAAGTCCAATTAAAAAATGGCCAGAGGATCTGAGTAGACAAGTCTCCAAAGAGGACATACACATAGCCAATAGACATGGCAAGATGCTCTGTGGCCAGGTAGCTCAGTTGATTACTGATTCCAATATTGTCCTGATACACCAAAGTTGCAGGTTCAGTTCCTGGTCAGGACACATACAAGAAACAACCAATGAATGCATAAATAAGTAGAACAACAAATTGATGTTTTCTCTCTTTCTCTCTCTCTCTCTTTCTCTCTCTTTCCTTACTCTCTCAAATAAATCAATAAAAATTTTTGTAAGTATGCTCAACATCACAATAAAAAAAAACACCTCACACCTTTCAGAATGGCTATCATCAATAAATCCAACAAACAGCAGTGTGGTGAAGATGCCCAGTTGGTAGGAATGTAAATTGGTGCAGCCACTGCGGAAAACGGTATGGTGGAGCCTCAAAATATAAAAAATGGAACCACCTATGACCCAGCAATTCCACAGCTGGGCATATATCTGAAGAAACCCAAAATCCATTTAATTCAAAAAGATATATACAGCCCTATGTTCATTGCAATGTTATTTACAATAGCCACGATATGGATGCAACCTGAGTGCCATCAGTAGACAGCTGGATAAAGGAGATGCAGTGCATATATACAATGGACTATTACTCGGTCATAAAAAAGAATGAAATCGCTTGCAACAACATGGATAGACCTAGAGGGAATTATGCTACATGAAATGAGTTAGACAGGGAAAGACAAATACCACATGATTTCACTTATATGTGGACTCTAAAGAACAGGATAAATGAACCAACAAAACAAAAACAGACTCATAGATGTAAAGAACAAACGACATTGCCAGATGGGAGAGCATTTGAGGGATGGGTGGAAAAAGTGAGGGGATTAAGAAGTACAAATAGGTAGTTAAAAAACGGTCACTGGGATGTAAAATACCACATAAGAAATACAGTTTATCATATTGTAATAACTATGTATGGTATCAGCTGGGTATCTGGATTACTGGGGGGGGGGGGGATCACTTCTTAAATTATATAAATGTCTAACCACTATCCTGTACCCCTGAAACTAATGTAAAATAATATTGAATGTCAACTGTCATTGAAAACTCAAATGAAAGTTAAGAAAGCATTGACTGTCGCTGGCTGGAACATGCCGGGCCTCCAGATCAGGCCCTCTTGAGCTTCTGGAGTTAGTCACAAGTGCCAGTCCTTTTGTGTTTTACCGCGGCATGATGGCCTCATTTGTTCAACAAGCATTTGTTAAGCGCCTACTGTGTGTCCAGCTCTGTTCTGGATCCTGAAATCACAGAGTGAACAACACACACAAATACAAAAGCTCCTCTAGGAGTGCACATTAGAGAAATGGAAACAAACCATTAAGTAAACGTCCTGTATATTAAAGGGTGATGGTGGCATCGAGAGAAGTAATGCAGGGAAGAAATGATGGGGGCAGGGTTAGAGGTGGGTGGGTTGCAATTTTAGAGTGGCCTGGGAAAGCCTCTGTGAGAAGATGCACTTGAGTCAAGACCTGAAGGCGGTGAGGGAGAAGCCAGGGAAGGATGTTCCCTGCAGAGAGAACAGAAGGTGCAAAGGCCCTGAGGCAAGATCCTGCCTGGAGTGACTAGGAAACATGGGAAGCGACTAGTATGGCTGGAGCAAAGGGGTAGGTGGTGATGCGAGGGCAGGGAGGAGGAGGAGGAGGAGAACATGGAGGGGACAGGGCCGCATGTCAGGGCCTGTAGGCATTGAGGAAGGTTAGATGTTTGCTCTGAGAGAGGTGGGAGTGATGGAGGGTTCTAAAAGAAGGATAGACATGACCTGAGTCAGGTGCTCACAGGCTCCCTCTGGCTGCTGTGGGGGGAACAGACTGTGGGGGTCAGGGAGCAGGATGAGGGCAGGAGACCAGGCTAAGCAGGCTGTGACTGCTCCATCCGGCAAGAGATGGGTGGTGAGCGTAGAGGTGGAGAGATGATGGGTGGTGAACATGGAGGTGGGACGTGAACGACTCTGGTCCCATCCAGGATGTATTCCCATGGGCACTGAAGAAATTCTGATAAAAGCCCAAGTGTTTTGCAGAAAAACAAAGCCCTATAATTGATCATTTGCAAGCCATTCACTGAGCGCCCAGCAGAAGCCAGGCTGTGTTGTGCACAATCCTGGAGCCTCCAGCTATTACCCGCCCACCTTTTTCTCTCCCACTCAATAAAGCCTTTTTCTGGAAAGCTTATTAGAATGTGAGTGATAAAATTGTACAGACGAGCTTGACTCCTCACTGTCATTAGTCATTGTTTGTGCCTATTACACAACCTTTTGAAGTTGGGGAACCCCTCTCTATGAGCCCATGTGGGGGAATGACGTCACTCGCCTTCCCAGACTCCTCTGCGCACAGGTATGATTCAGGCGGAGCCAACACTCATGCCTCTGCAGTCCTGCGGCAGCAGCGATGCCCGGATCACCCAAGGCCAAGGGCTTTCCCTGGTGGTCTGAGCCCGCTCTTCCTTTGCACTGGGCAGGCGTCTCCCGCCCGCAGGCCCCATCCCTGCCTCCTAGGAGTCAATGATAGATGCCTCCCTCTCGCCTCCCTGATAGGAAGACTCTGAGGTGTGCACAGCACGTCGTTTCCCAGGGGAGCCCATTAGGACCTGTACTCCCGGTGCCCACAGCAGCACGCTGCTCACTAGCTCACCCTGCATGGATTTCCTTCCCTTCTCCTCTCCCTTCTCCCACTGGGTCCTCTGGGGATCACCTTCTGAGGGAGCCCAACCCAAGACAAGAAGGGTGACTCAACACAAGAAGGGTGAGTCAAGAAAGCTTTCCCCTAGTGCCTGGAAGACCATAGCTAGCTTTGCCTCCTTTCACAACAAATCCGGTTCTCTAAAACACACACACACACACACACACACACACACACACACACACACAGAGCAACAAACATGAGTCCAGGCTTCCCTATCCATGTTCCTTGGTTCTGATCCCCAAGCAATTTGGACAGGACCCCCTGAAAAGTCTCACCCGTGCAGAGACCAAGCTGCCTAGTCCAACCTATTTAGCATCCCCTTCCTACATCTCCTGGGCTGTGCTTTGAAGCAAACCATCCCTGTTCTCTCAACAACCAAAATATTGAATTGCAAAGGAGAAGCAAGATTTACATGGCGAGGAGAGGCGGCCTCCGCGGCTTTCCTAAAATAATTATCTGCGTGGACACCCCTCGCCGGAGTGCTCTCTGCAGCAGGGTAATTAAATGCCTGGGGTTTGGCCGCCGCCAACTCTCAGCACGGCAGACATCACCCGCTGCCAGATTCAAGATCAAATACTACACAGGCAAGTTCATGTCCCCAGGGGCCCCTGGGATGACCTGGAAGGCTTGATGTTTGAGGGTCCAAGTGCCTGCTCTCCAAGACTGGGTTTGGCTTGGAACCAACGTCATGAACTCTTGGAGGTTCCAGACCGAGGGACAGAGCATGGCCTGTGCTATGAGGAAGTGCTGTCACAGCCGGTGTGAGAGCCCAGGTGATGCCGCCTCCGACGAGGTGGCCTGTCTCACCTCCGATGTGGCAAATGCTCCCCAGAAGTCAGCCGCTATCTTGGCTGAGACGCTGGTTCCGAGTTTAATATCCTTGCTAATGGCCTCTAAGAGGATAAGTAAGTGCTCAGTGGCTGCTCAGCTTGTCTTTCTGGCTGGGGTTATTCAAACACTTTCGCGGAGGCTGCTGCCCCGATTAAGCCGATGTCTCTGGAACAGATTCAGGATTGACCGAGTCTGAGAAACTCACGAAAAAATTCTCTGACTGTCACACCCAGATCTCAGGGCCCAGCACCCCCACCCACGCCTTGGTTTTAAAACAATTCCTGGGTCTTCCAAGATCCCTGGGGCAGCCAGCCAGCCAGCGCTGGCTATGGGGGATTAGCCAACAAGAATAGAGCAAGCAGCTGGCTCTTAATAAGACAAGGATATTATTGCATTTGAGGCTGGACAATTTAATCAGGAAGCAGAAGTGGCTTGGGGCTTATACATTTATTTGTACCCTGCCTTGTTCCAGAGAGGATTCGAGAGGTTTACAG